ATCCGATCAGTCTCAAAAGTTGCCCTGCACAGCTAAGGACCAAGGGGAACCTACATATAAAATTTGAGAAAGATCCCTCCGGTACTTCTTGAGAAATAGCGATAACAAACGTTCACTATCAAAATCCAAGATGGCTGCCTGTCGGCCATGTTGTTTATCCGATCAGTCTCAAAAGTTGCCCTGCACAGCTCAGGACCAAGGGGAACCTGCATATAAAATTTGAGAAACATCCCTCTGGTACTTCTTGAGGATTAAGGATAACAAGAATTGTTTACGGACGGACGACGGACAACGGACGGACCACGGACCACGGACGCAGGGTGATTTGAATAACCCACCATCAGATGATGGTGGGCTAAAAATATTTATCTATGCAACTAAGTGCTAAAGACTGTTTTCATGTATCTTGTTTGAAACGGTTCTGGTGGCCCAAAAACATTCTGTGAGAAACCAAAACATTTGGATAGGAACTTTGCTTTATTGGCAGAGCTAAAAATGCTGTTTTGGGGTTTTGGGACAAATTAATAACAGTATATATAAAGACTTTCTTGTGTGCATTTCCTGAAATATACATGTGAATCAACCTTGTTTTATGCAGGAGTAATTTAAACTAGCAATATTCAGCATTTTTGTTTTGGTCAGGCATGTCTGGACCCCTTGCTAAATCTTTGCGAGGTCAGCCTAGGTTCAGATCGGAGCCTGAATCTTTGGGAGGTCAGTCTAGGTTCAGATCGGAGCCTGAATCTTTGTGAGGTCAGCCTACGTTTTATTGTGTAGGTTCAGATCGGAGCCTGAATCTTTGTGAGGTCAGCCTAGGTTCAGATTGGAGCCTGAATCTTTGCGAGGTCAGCCTATGTTTAGATCGGAGCCTGAATCTTTGCGAGGTCAGCCTAGGTTCAGATCGGAGCCTGAATCTTTGGGAGGTCAGTCTAGGTTCAGATCGGAGCCTGAATCTTTGTGAGGTCAGCCTACGTTTTATTGTGTAGGTTCAGATCGGAGCCTGAATCTTTGTGAGGTCAGCCTAGGTTCAGATCTGAGCCTGAATCTTTGTGAGGTCAGCCTAGGTTCAGATCTGAGCCTAAATCTTTGTGAGGTCAGCCTAGGTTCAGATCGGAGCCTGAATCTTTGCGAGGTCAGCCTAGGTTCAGATCGAGCCTGAAACTTTGCGAGGTCAGCCTAGATTCAGATCGGAGCCTGAAACTTTGCGAGGTCAGCCTAGGTTCAGATCGGAGCCTGAATCTTTGTGAGGTCAGCCTAGGATCAGATCTGAGCCTTATTCTTTGTAAGGTCAGCCTAGGTTCAGATCGGAGCCTGAATCTTTGTGAGGTCAGCCTAGGTTCAGACCGAGCCTGCTGTTTTCTCTTCTGGTTCAACTGGTTGAACTGGATATAGGAAAGGGGCTCAAGTCTTTTTCCTCCATGTTGGATTGCTTTATAACATCAGCATTGAACAAACATTTGAGAAGTTTTTAACAGCATTTAACCTTTGTTTATCAGGAAATTATTTTTCGAAGCCCAAACAGTTTCAAATCATCCATGTACATGGTTGTAGCATTTTTCTTGCAATTTTCAGAAAAAGCTGAAAGGGGAAGAAATTTTCAATTTTAAGTGTACGGACATCATTATATCACATGAAATCAAACTGAATGACTTTTTTGTTAATTTTTATGATAATTAAACACAAAAATTTGATTCAGGTTTTTATTAACAAATCTTTTAAAGGCCTTCACAGAAAAAGAAGATATGGCTTTTGTCCCCAGTACAGTATAGCTTTCAGCATATTGCAAAGGTTATTAAGAAAATTCCAGCACTTTTACATGGCCAGGATTGACTTATTTTCCAGTATTTTCAAGCAATGACCTTAAATTTGGTACTTTTTATATAATCATGGCCTGGTTGAACAAAGTATGAAAGTCCTTATTTTCTATTTTTGTTATTTATCAATTGATTTACATATCATATTTTGACTTTCTCCTTCTTCAATGATTAGTAAAAGTGAATATACCCTGAATGGTAGGTAAAGGCACAATGGCTTGTCTCCAAATATCTGACTATGAAGTAAATATTTCAAAACCAATTAAATCTTTTGAAATAATATAATAAGAGTTTGCTTTTTAGGTCACCTGAGACAAAGTCTCAAGTGACCTATTGCGATCGCCTTTTGTCTGTCGTCGTGCGTGCGTCCGTAAACAATTTACATTTTCGACTTCTTCTCCAAAACCCCTGAACCAATTTCAATGAAATTTTGCAGGGACCTTCCATGGACAAAGGTCAACAAATATAGTGGCCGGTTTAGTCCCAAGCCCCCAGGGGCCTGAGGGGCGGGGCCAAAAAGGGTCAAATTGACTAAAATTTCAAAAATCTTCTTCTCCAAAACCCCTGAACCAATTTCAATGAAATTTTGCAGGGACCTTCCATGGACAAAGGTCAACAAAAATAGTGGCCGGTTTAGTCCCAAGCCCCCAGGGGCCTGAGGGGCGGGGCCAAAAAGGGT